AGGCCCCAGGCAGGACAGGTCTCCGCCCCTCTCCCTTGGGATCATCCAGGCCCTGCTCCCCCCAGGACCACCGTGGAGCCTCCACGCTCCCTCCCGCCCCTCCTCCCACACCCCAGTCTTCCTGAGCCCACACCTCTCCTCTGCTTGCATCCTTCTGCAGGGCCTTCTTTCTGGAAAAGAGCACAAGTCTGCCCTGATGCCCGACCTCCCTGGCCCCCACTTGCCTTCCTGGGCCCCCTCACTAAATTCTCTCACCCCCAATACCCTTCCTCTCTCCCACTCAGATGCCTCTCCTGCCCCTCTCCTCTGACCTCAGGATGCCCACAGGGAGAGAGGGAAGAGCCAGGCATGCTGGGACCCCCGCCTCCTCCTGCTCCCCCAGGTGGACACAAGCAAGCCCGGCAGGGAGCACCTTCCTGCCCCGCCCCCTCCTCTGACCAGCTCCTTATCTGGAAGTTATTTCATCAGGAACTCACAAGGGGGCCTGGAAATGCAGACCTCACAGCCTAAAGCTCTGGCTGTCCGGCCTCTTCCCAGGGTCTGATTCATTCAGTCTGCCAGAGGTCTCAAACACCTCCCCAGAGCCCCCGGCCCCACAATCACACTTTGAGAAACGCTGGGAGGGGTAATGCACAAAGCCCCAGGCCCCAGAAAGGCTGCGGGGAACGGGGGACGCTGTGTGAATGGGAAGAGGCCCAGCCCCCCTGTGCTGCAGTTCCCCTCCTGTGGAATGTGCTAACCACTAACCACTGTTTGGTTAGCGCATTGGGTAAAAATTCAAGAGTTCCCTAGTTGGGGCTTGGCGCCCTCCGAGGCAGTACAGCGTGTGCTTGCAGCTGAGATGATGTTCCAGAGACAGGAGTTTTATTATTTTCGTTCTTGGGAGACACATTGCTTACATGTTCTGTGCCTCAGTTTCCTCATCTGTGAGATGGGGGTGACAGCAGACATACTTCATGGGGTTTATGGTAAGTATTGAATGAAACAAAAGATGCATCACCCAGGAGGCCCTTAGCCAGCTCTTGGTGACTATTTTCCTGTTTCTTTTTCAACTGGAGAGAGAGGGGGAGGGAGAGAGAGGGAGAGAGAGGTGTTGTCCCACCTGTCCGTGACTCATTGGTTGCATCTCGTATGTGCCCTGACGGGGGATGGAACCCGCAACCTTGGCGTATGGGGCGATGCTCTAACCAGCTGAGCCACCCGCCAGGACTGACTGTTTTTCATATAAGTGAGAATAGGTGCACGTCTCAGAGCCTTGGTACATTTCTGAACCAGAGGAAGTGACTGTCAATCATTTCTTCAAGGTAGTGAGAGAATAAGCTGGAGGGCTCTCTCTCTGTCCCCTGGGAAGGGGGTGTAGAGAGAGAAACTGAAGGACACAGAGGCCCGGTCGGCCGGGCCCTTTGTATACCGCGCGGGCAGCCCTTGGCCTTCCTTGGGTGGCCTCGCTGGGACGTGCCTTCCAGCGCTCGTGTTCCCAGAAACCCTCCAGCGTGTTTGTGTGCAGGCTCTATAAACAAGGCCGGGCGAGCGGGGTGAACCGAGCAGGCTTTATTAGGGCAGGACCGTTCTGTCCCGCTGAACCCAACCTCGAAGGGCTCCAGAGGCCCCAGGAGGACCCCGGCCCCACCCTGCTCCAGGCCCCGCTCGTTCCCTGAGCAGTCACTTCTGAGCGGGAAGCAGGCAAAGGCCCCTGGGCGCTCAGGAGGGGCAGCCACGCAGCAAGAGCAGGACTGTGGGCGAGGACAGTGCGACCTGGAGCAAGTCCCTTT